CCCCAAAACCCCAAAACCCCAAAACCCCATAAAATGTAAATATTTGAAAGTAAGGTTCTTAGCAAAAATAATCTTAGGAATAATAATTTTGGATATTATAATAAACATAAATCATGTTAAAATTAAAAGTTGTGCTCTCACTACTTTCGGCTGTGGCAATAGCTTAAAGTGAAAAACTTATGAACATTCACTTGAAGAAACAGCATCATACCTCAGATGATATGGATTAATATATTGGATAAAGGTAATGGCAAACTGACTAAACCTAGTAGGTGACGCTAAAATCGAAGTTTAGTAATCGTAAGCTTTTTCTTCTGATTTCTATTAGTTGACATTATCACTGTAAAGCTCAATAATATAAACAAAGGAATCTCTTACACAAGTGAATTATATCTTGGGGATGATCCTTAGCTTTCTGAATTAGTATTTGACACTGGATCTGGCTGGTTGATTGTTACAACAACTTCTTGTAGCAGCTGTGAATCAAAAGTATACAATCCAGCGAAATCTTCAAAGTCTAAAATGCTCGAAAGAGTACCAAAGACTTTAAAAGTAAATACATATTAGGCTTATAAAGTATATAGTATGGAAGTGCTACTGTGATGGGTCAAAGCTATTTAGATAAGGTCTGCTTAAATGAAATAGTATGTGCTGACAACTTTTAATTTCTAGCGATAACAGTATAAACAGGGATAAAAGGATTCGACGGGATTCTAGGTCTCGCGCCTGATCAAGAGTCTAATGGACCATCATATGTTGCCAAATTGAAAGAAAGTAAAGTGATTGATAAAAAATAAGTTGGTCTCTATATTGCAAGTGATGTTGATGGTTCCGTTATGAGCTTTGGTGGATATGATAAAGAAATGCTAAAAAGTTGTAGCGATAATGACGGATGTGGAGTTCATTGGTATGATCTGACGGGCAAGAACTGGTGGTAAATTGAAATCCAGGACATTGTATTTGATGAAAGCTCAATTCTTGGCAGTTCTACTTCTAAAGCTATAGTTGATAGTGGAACTTCAATGATCACAGTACCAAGGGACGTATTTTCAAAGTTTAAATCAACCTTAGACACAAGTTACTCAAGTGAGGATATTTCATGTGATGACCAAGACATGATGTGTTTTTACTAGGGAGAATGCAAAGATTATTATTCTAAGTTTAAACATTTAAAGATCTAATTGGGTGACAGATGGGTATTCACAATCCCACCTTAAGATTACTTGGTTGACCAAACTATTTAAGGCAAACAATTCTGCTTCTTTGGAGTTTTTGGGCATGATAGTAATCTTGTAATTCTAGGTGATGCATTCCTGAGAACTTATTATACAGTGTATGACTTTGATGGGGACTAGGTGGGTGTTGCCCTTCATAAGTACTCATTAGGAACACTAGAAAAGAAATTCCCTGTTTGGATAATAGTTATGATCGTTATTTTAGGAATTTTCATAATCCTTCTTATTGCTTATCTGATCTACAGAAGATATAAGAACAAAAAGTTGAAGAGAATAGGAGGTGGAACTAGTGGAAATGATAGAAAGAATTCTCAGCTCTTAAGAAACTAAAGACAGTCAGGTAATATGGAATAGACTGAGCAGTTGGTTGATAAAAGAGGTTTATCTGGAGAAAATAATACAAGCATCTAAAGTTTAGATCAGTAAGATCATAATCTTTGAAATCGAATAAATTTACTATTAATAATTACCTAAATTTATTTCCTCCTCATATTTGAAAGATGATTATGACTAGCGGGGTTTTGGGGTTTTGGGGTTTTGGGG